TTAGATTAGATAAAACATAAAACATTATAACATTCATAAAACATTGGTATTATTACAATTTTCATAATTGATCATAAATTAAAAAAAAAAATCATTGAAATATTGAATATGTCGTAATAGTTATAGATATATTTTTATTATATCAGTAAAAAGGCTTAACGTTTAGCTAAATTATAATAAAAGAATTACATTTTAAATAAAAAATACAATTACTAAGATTATATTTAAGGTTTATAAGATTTTAAAGTTTGGTTACTAACACGATATCTTTGTAGTAATTTTTTTCTATTTTTTTAATGAAAGTTAAAGGGATACAAATTAAAATTGTTTAAGTTAATTCATGTTATTATTTATTAAAAAAAAAAACCTTCTAAATTACGGTCAAATAAAATTTTGTTCCAAGTAACTAAACAAATTTTTTCATCTGCCTCAGGAATGTCTTATTTTGTTTAACAGTTTAATGATAAAAACAATACTAGATGCTACTGTAGGCCTGAGATTATTTGACCATGTTAATAAAAAAATAACCTTGATACAATATTATAGTCTAATGAATATTACAATTTAGTTAATAGGTATTTTTTTAATCAAAATTGTTTCGCAATAACTTATAAATGATAGATAGACAAAGACAATTCATCAACGGGACTCTCTTAGCCCCAATGATGAATGTTTGCTTTCACTGAAACATTAATAAGTCTCATATTTATTAAAGCAAGTGTTGTTAATATTATGCGTGTGCTCATTATTTCGATCATATAATATTATTTAAACATAGATTTAGAAACTGAGACTTTTATGTTTATAGCGGTTTCGGTTGGGTTCTAGTCTTACAATATTAATTTTTTTTGTTAGGTTTAGATTAAGGTCTGATTTAAAAAAAATCAAAATTTAAGGTTTCGGTTAAAAACAGGTTTTAACCGATAAAACCCCTCATTTAGAAATGATTTTATTAATTTTTAATTATAAATTTTATAATTAACGACAGTGTATTTTCAAAGAGGTTTTGATGGCTACAGCCATTATATATTTATATTATATCTTTCTTCTTTTTCTTCGCTTTAATCTCAATTACTTGGGATTATGTATACGAGGTTTATTTATTTAAATTTTTTAATCATAAATTATTTGTAGGTCCCTTTTCTGCATAGGTTTATATGGAAGGGGGCAACTTCCCTAAATATTTCATTAGCGTCCCAAAATATAAAAATCATATGTATTTTGAATACTCAGAAAAATGTTGAAAATATGCCATTGGTTAATAGTAGATATTTAACAGATTTAACTACAATTTACTCACCTTAACAATATATACTGTTTAGTAAGTAAGAAAAAGGATTTCTATTGTTCTCATTATTAGTAATAATTGACCTGTTTCTTTACTTACTGAACACTGTGTAATATAAAGTTCATGTTAACGAAGAAACTTAGTAATAGTTGACTTTGTAATATGCATTTATGTAATTGAGTTAGAGAATAAAATATTTTTATTGCATAGAATTATGTTAAGTTTAATTATTTTTATGTTAGGAATTTTTTTTGTTGATGTCACTGAACAGTGAACAGGTCATTTTTTTTTTGTATGACAAAAATGATTTCTTTATTATTATAACCAATATTTATATGTTGTAATCAATACTGTGTTTAAATTTTGTTACTAAGAAGTGTGTATAATTTAAAAGTAGTTAGAATAATATATAACAACAAGTTATTTAAAACCATTCGATTCCGCATTAAAATTAAATAAATATAAATGACTGAATATTTTCATATTGTCACTAAACTAAAATAAAATAGCTAATTCACAGATTATATATTATGCGTGTGACGAAAAAATTCAAATTGATAAAAACACATCTCAATCCTGATCGGAAAATAAGAACATATTATAACATTCTGGAAATATCCAATAAGACAAAATTTAACACCATTCCATCAGTATTAAAATCTTATTGAATTTAACATAAGTCTCATTTTTTAGGATTCGATTTTATAGAAATTCTATTTTAATTAAACAAATTATTATTAAAAAAAATTAAATTGTCCTTCCATTAAAAAATATTTTTAATTTATCAGGTCCTGCATAGATTATTGTTGAATGAAGGATTAAAATTGCATTGCTTGCTATAGAAAATTATAAGGTTTATAGGTCTAAAAAACTTGAATAATATCTAATCGAATATTTTAATCTCAAAAATTGACAGAATTATTAGTGAGCAAAATATTATTAGGGGCCTCAATTTTAATTCATATCCCTATCTCAAAGACCTAAATGCAGCACTGGCAATAATACGTTACCAAACATAATATCTTTAATGAAAGAGGCTACCGTAAAACCACTTTTCACAATTAAAGTTGGTGGTTGCCTTAAATCAATATTCTAGTCATAATAATTAAAATTTTTATGATACTCAAAAGGAGTCTTTAGGTTTATCAAAAAACTAAATGGTCCTTAGTTTATCAATTTAAGTTTTCATAAAAAGTTTTTTAACTTTCTAAATGTATTTAATACAAATGAGCTTGTTTTAAAAATAATGAGTGCCTAACACATACTACCATAATACATTTTTTGACGATAGATTTTATCAATGTCTCTATCATAAAATTGATATCATTGCTATAATCAAAGACCAAAAAAATTCAAAGCCTAAGAATTATGTCTCTATTCTGAACCTTAAAACGTGAACATGATTTAATTAATAGGATAAAAGAATACAAATGATTATTTTTTTTTTTTTAATTTTTATTAACCTTGATACCATTTTTCTTAAATAAACGTAAGGTAGTAATTTCAATGTACAAGGTTAAAGTGTGCATATTGAGAGCATTTATTTCGCATCCTACAGCTCTTGACAGTACCGCCTTCAGTTGGCCGACCCACACCCTAATTTCACGTATCCCACTCGCATGTGGTTTTAACATTGACATTGATACATTTATTTTTAAACAACGGCATCACAATATCAATGACGAAAAAATAGTTTGTTAGGTTTTACATACCGAGCTTTTATTGTTATTACAATATTGCAACATTTGTGACCTAAGTTTGCATTGAGCAATCTTCTCTGTTTATAAGAGGTCAAAATAACATGCATGTGAAAATTTAAAAAAAAGACAATAAGAAAGAATGTTTACATTTATACGTAGGTTGATTCCGTTAGTATATAATACATTTTTTACTAACTGATTATTATTTAGTATATAATGAATTATATTTAAATTAAGTATTAAAATATATTTTACATGCTGATCTGGTTGGGTGGGGTTTAAGACTCCCAGAAAATATTGTACATAAAAACTGTATTTCTTAAAACAATTTATTTTATTATAACACAAATAAGAACTGTAGGTGAAAAAGAATTAATAAAATATAACTTAGAATCTATTATAGTTACTTGATAAATTAGGCAATTTACAAAACTAGGTTATTTTTTGCAATAGACCCATACTTCTCATGGGTTTAAGGATCATGGCTCCTCTTAATTATATGACTACATTCATTAAAAAGACAAAAAAATGGTTGAGTGGTTGCATTTTTTTAATTAATTATTATTATTTTTTAATTGTAATGATTTTTGTAAATTATTTCAACAAGCACTTCAGTATCTAAAAAACCTTTGTTTTTGATATATAATTACAATATTTTCTTGTTTATTAAACAAGCATTTTTCTTACTAGAATAAAAAAATTATCAAACAAATAATTACTTTGTTTGGTTGGGTAACACAAAAATATTATTGATTTAATAATAAAAAAATTGGCAGCTGTACTTTTTTCAATATGAAGAATAATTCAGTAGTGAGAAAGATTTAAAAGAACTCTAATCAGTAGAATCTTATCACTGAAAATAAAATTGAACTACTTATGGCAATCAAATATTATTTTATTAATAAATAATTTTATTGAAATTTCTATCTTGATCTANTTTTATTAATAAATAATTTTATTGAAATTTCTATCTTGATCTACAGATATTCTTCTTTATTTCATTTAAGTTCTATTGAAGTGATATAGTAAGATGATTTACTGTAAATCTATTTGAATAACACGTTAATTTGAAAAAATCAACTTTAAACTAATAAAATCTTCGATAATTTATGACATTAAAAGTAATTAATCTTATCCTAAAAGACAACAAAAACTATTTTAAAAATAATTAGATATATAACAATAACAAAGGGTAACACAGGTAGTCAAAAATCTTTGCTATGTAAAGCTTATTCGTCGTTCGAAATATATTGTCTTAGTTAAATAAATGTTTAATTGTTTTGGAGTAGAATAGTTCTTTTCAGTATTACATTTGTCATACAAGTTAATAAAACTAGTCATATTGTAAATATTCCATTATAAAATAATTAGTGAGTAGTAAATAATTAAATAGAAAATGTTTATGTCCATGTAATAGATTCATAGATTTTTATAATATGAATTATAAAAAACCGATTTATTTTTATTTTGTGTTACAATACTATCAAAAAAAGTTTTTACATATGTTTTTGTTATTAATCTATGAAAAGTTTCACTGGCAAACATTGTTTATAAAATTGACAATTGTTATTAGATTTCAGACTTTATTAGCTTATAATGAGTAATAATTATAATGTAAAGGTTCTAATCATGTCGTTTTCAACATTTTTAACTATACAACTAGTGTTATTATTAGTTAACCATAATGATTAGATTGCGGAAATCCAATGCAGTTGTTGTACATGTAATACTTTATGTGACCTTATTTAGTGATAGCAAGTGGGATAAATTCTAGGCGTGATTATTAAATGCTATAATTAGAAATTTCGTGTTATCCATAAAATCCAAATGTTTATAGAGTAATTAAAATTTAGTGATGAAACAAAGTTGAATACAAAATTTTAAAAGAGGGAAACCCTGATGACATCTTAGGACTTTACGTACCCGAAGTTCCGCTTTCGATTTCTGTTGAGTTGCCACCATAAAAAAGAGGGAACGCGAGTGGACCGGTTTCTCACCGGTACGATCAATTTACTGAGTTGTTGGCTCTCATTTGTCACGCGACAACTGTTGTGTATGCACGTCGTCGTCCGAATGTTCGGCTTAAAATTAAGTTCGTGTGTTTACATTTCATTTTCATTAGGCCAGTACTGTTGCCATAAACATTTTTTAGATTAATCAATGGAGCTACGAGGTTGTTATTGTTAAGATTATCAAATGATATCCAAAGGCACTATGGGATTGTGAAATTACAAACTAACTTGGATCAAATTCATCATAAGGTTTACTTAGGAACACAATGAATTGGGCTCTGATTATTTATGTCCTTTATGTAAGTTTAAAAGTATTCATTTACCGGATTTTATTTTATCAGGACATTTATGTATGTTTTGTATTCATTGTAATATTAAGTAATAATAAGTTAGAGGGAGCTTTTTAAAAATTAAAATAGAGAATAAAAAAATTATTTTTCTGATTATACTTGATTCTTCTAATCATTAGTTCAAATAAAAGAGTATAAACGGATAACTAAATACCCATACCTTCCATGAAGTCGGTGAAGGTATATTNGCCGGATTTTATTTTATCAGGACATTTATGTATGTTTTGTATTCATTGTAATATTAAGTAATAATAAGTTAGAGGGAGCTAATTAAAATAGAGAATAAAAAAATTATTTTTCTGATTATACTTGAGTCTTCTAATCATTAGTTCAAATAAAAGAGTATAAACGGATAACTAAATACCCATACCTTCCATGAAGTCGGTGAAGGTATATTAGTGTGTTTTAAGTGCAAATAATGCAAAAGTATTATTGAAATTTTTCGGGATAATAAGTACCCAAAACTCTTATTTATTTACGCCAAAGTGTTGAGAATAACCGAAATAAAAGTTATGATTGCAAAAAATTCATATCTCAAATTTTAATTTTAACTTAAAAACTATGTAAGATTTTGTGATACTAAAAAAATTGCGTTATTTTAAAATAACAAAAAATCAAAACTTTATATATTTAGTATGAATATTCATAAACTAATTTTTTTCATTAATAAATTACTTAATATAAATTTGATAAAGATAAAGGATTAGCTATTTCTCTGCTAATGTTATATTAAAATAGTTAACTGTTAATGAAATTTAAAAGCTACAATTACAATTATGATGGAAAATACTTACACTTTAACATTTTCAAATTTGAAATATTTCAGTGTTTATTACCTGTTATTAGCATAAAATGTTTACAAAAAATCTTAGATTAATTATTTATTTGTTTACACGTAATCACTAAAAATTACAGTTTTTAATGAATTTTATGTTTTATTAATTTTTTGCGACTAAAATATGATGTTAATAACTTAAATTTAAATACAATCACTTATAATTTTTTAATAGAGTTACGAAACTTAAGTTCATAACAATAAAATTATTGTTATTAATGGGAACAGGTATTTTCACAAAAAAAAAATACTTTTCCCATAAAAGAGAGAATTCACTTCGCATAGTATTTCATCACTGTGTGAGCTAGGTAATTGATAATAATATAACCCAATTCTTATTTTTCAATTTAATTTATTACGGTAGCAGTCACAATTTTTTAAAATCCAATCTTAAAATATTTTACAAAATCTTTTGAAATTAATTTAGATAGGATTTTAAGATATGTATTCCACGTTTTCATTTTTAGAGAATGGGTTTCTTTTTATTGGCTCGTACAAAAATTTTAGGGTATGTAGTAAACAAAAAAATCAGTAAAGAAATGCAAAATTTTTATATACCTTTCATATTTTACAAATCATCGACAATTACGTCGGCTACTGTTATTATGGAAATGGGATTCCAAAATGGGTCATATGGCCAGTGTTAAATATTTATAGACTACATAAATTGAGGTTTTGCAAGGACTTATAAATATATTAGCTAAATATTATAAAATTTATATTAATCTTACAATCTCACGTCTTAATATTTTGAATAAGTCAGTAATGTTTCTGATATGTATTTACTTTCTTAATTACGTCACTGTATAAAATAAAAATGCTAATCAATTATCAAAATTAGAACTCTTAGCAATATAATTGGTCCAATTGAACGGTAATAGGTTTTTTCTTTAAATAATTGAAAACCTCGTAAAACTCTTGTTACTACATTATAAAAAACTGTTTTATAATTGTATTATTTTTCATAATGCTTTTTTGTCTAAAAGTAATGTATTTAGTATAAAACTTTTTAATTTGAGTTTATAGAGTAAATGCGAAAATTAAGGTCGAAGGTATAAGCTTATATTATAATTATTGATACCATAATAATATTTATGTAACTTCCCCCCACATTAAAAATGAGATATGCAAAATGTACAATACACGTATCCTAATATACCAAATAAGACTTTATTGTAATTATTTATTATAGATAGTATAAAATAATTAATAACTCAACTATTAATACTTACACTAAGTATTTTATGATGACTATATGACATAACTGTGCGGATACCAGTTGCGCGTTAGTCTAAAAAGTAATGTTATTATGAATGCAAACATTACAGCATCACAACATCTTTCACTTTGGATATTAATAATACTTGAATAAACCGAGTTTTCAACACCAAAAAAAAGTTTTTTAAATCTCCGAAATGATCTATATCCGCGTCAATAGCTTACTTATCAAATTTAATAACCAACTTTAATATAATAAATTGTATAATATTATTAATTATAATATGGGCGTAATTACAGGATACATTATACTCATTTTGTCCCAAAATAAAAATAATTAAACAATAAAAATTATACAATTTTTTTTTGTTTGAAAAGATGCAGTGAAAAATTTTCTTATATTTGTTCCCTTAAGTAGTGGCGTGTATAAATAATGGGATAATACCTAGCGCAACTGCTCTGTGCTCTTATGCTCATGAGACATTTGGGGTCGTCTTAGCCAATGAACCTGATAAAACTAGTAAAAATGTTCGTAATGTTATTTATTATTCCTGTTTTATGCATATCTTAAGATTTTAAATAATCGAGATAACTAAAGGGTTGATAACAGTGGGTACCCAGGATTATTTTTAGGGCAATCTAAAGATTTTTTGCTCAAAAAAAATTTTGAGGGCATCAATGAGAAACTGTCCCTAGGACAAAACTCTAATTATGTTATTGAGTTATATTTTATTTGTATATAAAAAATAAATGTTATTACTAGGGTAACATCGCCAGTAAATAAACACAACTGCGTTTTATCTAAGATAGCAGGTAATTTGTTGAGGAAAGATAGTAGTTTTTATAGCAAAAAGAATGTCTAAGTTTAGTCTTATGTATGTCTTTTAATTATAGGGTGACAAATCAAAATGTGATTTTACCATTTTTTTATTTTACAAAAGAACCAATATAAAAAAAGAAATTATATTTAATGTACTTGCAAGATTTATTTTTAGGCAAGCTTTTTGTAGAAATATTATTCAAATGTATCAATTTTGATGCTATTTTTGAATTTTGTACTATTTATACCATAATAATTAATATATAGCTTAATATTATAATTTTAGACAATAGCACATTTTCACTTGTCACTCTAAAATTTTTCATACAAAATTATTTACTGAAAACTTTTGACACAAAAAAAGTATTAAATATTTTTTACATTAATATTAAAGAAAATATTTAATAGGACTATTGTGTATTAATTTCATGACTATAGCCTCAAAACATATATTATTAAACAACTTTATAAACTGTAAAACTGTTTATTCTTTGTTGATGACACCCTTTAAAATAAAAAATGTTTAGTCAACACTATATAATATACAGCATATTATTAAACAGTTATTAGTGTTTCTCAATATCTTGCCTTGATTTATCCTATTAGAATACTGATTTAAAAATTATATCAAAAATTCTTTTTGGCCAGGTACTGAATCATTTGATAATTTGTTGAAATTTTTTTTTTAATTATCCAAAATTTTTTATTTGAAAATATTTTATGGAATGTGATATAATTAAAAAAACAAATCTTTATTTCATAATGTTATAATAAATAAGATTATGAGATAGCATAAAATGAGGTAGCCTGTATAGGAGTAAAAGGGTACATGCATCATATAGTCTTATTATATATTTCATATACGTTAAACATTCTGTAAATATAAAAAAACGTAAATCTTGAAAATAGCTTAACCTTTTGATTACACTAGCATAATGTACTCGACATTCCCACGCTGTATAAAGAAGTTTTCTTTAAAAGTACCAAGGTTTAATTATATTTATTTAATTTGTTGTGAACAAAGGATCGTTTTTTTGAAATATGTCCTCGGAGGTGCTCATTTTGGTGCCAGCTTAATGGATAGTAAATGTGGCCTTAAATGCATATACTATTTGGTGGTTTGTGATTTTTATTGTAAACAACCGTTGTTTTGGTTGAGCGATAACGGTGGTCTTCGATGCAGAACTGTGGGTGTTTCCACCAGTGTATATAATTAAAAACAAATTAGGAAGATGATACAAAGCTAATCTCTAACTTCGATACCAATTGAGGTCGACAATTCAATACGTACTAAGTGCAAATAGGTAGATCGGAAAATTCGACAGGGATACCTAAGACAAAGATGGTTTGATGTGGTAAGGAAAGAACTGGAATAAAAAATAGTATATGGTAAAAATTGACTTTAAGAATAAAAAGCCTAAATGGCTTTTAAAAGCTTTAAAATAAAAATTATAACATTTGATTTTAAGTGTTTATTATTTTATTATCCAATACATAGTAATACTTATAAACAAATTTTTAAATTCAACAACCATTATATTACAATAAAGATTTATTAATTATTAAATTTTATAACCTTTTAAAAGGTTGAAAAAAAAATAATGATCTAAGTTAATATTTAAAATCATATAAAATATAATTTTTGTCGTTCAATGACGTTGACGCCTTAGCGCTTATGTTCATTTATACTGTTTACTGTAGTTTCTCGAATGGGTGACCATCCGGTAATTTTAACAGTGATACACCTCTTATTCACTTATTTCCCTCAACTATAATGCATCTGTTCAATAGCCAGTGTAAAATTCTATTAATGCAGAGCCAAACTCAAATTGTTGGGATAGAGGATATTTAAAAAATATCTTATTAATCATGATCAGGTAAATATATAAAAAAATATCTTCATCTAATTCTTTGTCATCAAATCTATTTAAAACATTTTCTTTGTAGAATTGCTAAGTATTTTCAGGTATTTAAAAAAATTTCTTAAAGTTTTTGACATTTATTATCTTAGTCATTTTAATTTAATAAGTTTTGTGGAATTGAAAAAACTGATTAGTCATTGATTCAAATTTTTTG